TACAGGCTTATAGCTTTTGTTTTTATGAATGAAAAACAGTGAAACCTGTCTAGTCCAGAGGTTTCGTATTCTAAAATCTTGTCTAATATGATATTTACTTTAATTCTAATTTCAGTAAATTCAATTAATAAAACCGTTCTTATCCAGTCACTTTCTATGGAAACAGTTACTGTATACAGGGAAATTTTCGCCCCGTTTTATTTTCGCCCCTTTCGCCCTATTAACATTTGGGCGAATTTAAAACGGGACGAATTCAAAGAATACAGTATAATTTCTTAAACAAAACTATGACTGGGCGAATTTAAAACGGGGGGAAATTGTTTGCAAGTGTGAAAGACGGGGCGAAAATAACCCTGTATACAGTATTTAGATTAGAAAAGTTTAACAGTTTGGCTATTTGTTTGCTATTGGGGTGTTCTTTTCTTACCTTAAAGGATTTGATGAAGATGGTTATATAGTCAAAGTGTATGGATAATTTTGCATAAAAAAGAAATTTGTTTCTCTTGGATGGATCTTATAAGGAGTTAGTATGGAGATTTGACCTCTGTTTCTAAGACAATTTTTTTTCTTCAAGAATGAAATGATGGAAATCTGTATGGATTAAAGCTGCTAAATGGAGAAATATTTTACTTTAAAAATTCCAAATGAAACTTGCAAAATCATTTTTTACTATTAAATATTTAATAGTAATGTAAAAGATTTTTTTAGCAAAGAAAAAAAACCAAGCCTGTCTGGAATTTGAATTTATAAATGGTACCAAGCAGTGCTGGACAGACAGTGCTTTGGTTTTGTAACATAAAAGAGGTTTTAAATTGGTAAGGTGATAAATATGTAGATATTATAACCCAGTTCCAAAATCGTATCTTTTAATTGCTGCAAATGCTCATAAAGAGAAGTAGATCTTTCAGATCTCTTTACAGGGTTACTATAAACACATGCATCATATTTAAGATTTCCATTTTTAAGTCCATTTCTAATGAGATGGAAGACCTTCCTTTATATGTCCTGTTCATTCTTTTAAATTATAGATTAAAAGTTGATAGATTAATTTGCATAAAAATATTGCTATGCTGGATTTTAAGGTTGTCATTCTTAATATATTGAGAAAGGTTATGACCCAAGATTAGGTGTGAAAGCAAAAACATATTTGTGAATCATTAATGCAAGTTCTCTGAATTTTTGTGGAACAATAAAATTCATGTTCTGAATGTTAAAATAATTTGTTGGTATGAAGGCATTTTATATGAAGCCCTCAATGATGTTGCAATGGATATTTTATCATATTTTCAATTTTCTTGTATTTTTAACATTTTCTAAACTGTCTGTATTGTACTTTAGGAATGATTTATATGAGTGCAAGAAAAGATGTGTTCAGGTTGAATATGAATCATCTGGGCTGGTGAGAGAGAGAGGTGACTGTACACTGGTTCTCTTAGCTGGTGGTCAGTCCCTGTCAGAAAACAACAGGTATTTTGGTTTTGAGGGATCCCAGGAACAGTTTGAGCAATTCTTCACAGTTTGTTTAAAATATTTGACATTGTGGATTCAGATAAATCATCCACTTCTCTTTTCAATATAGTAATAAGAAACAAATGGCTTATTCAAGACATTGAAATGCCCTTCTGCATCAATTAGACTATAGAGTAAAGACATATTTTGCCTTCTACTCAATCAGTTAAAATGTGATACTTTGCAGTTCATACTGACTAAAAGGTATTAAGGACTAGTGTTCATCTGTTAACTATAATATAGTTAAAGGCAATCTGTCCTTATCAGATTGACTGTATATAGAGTTAAGGTGCAAATCAGTTTAAACTATATAGTCCTCTGCAGCAATCAGTTTAAACTATATAAGGATGTGATACACAATGTATCCTCTGACCCTTTGCTGCAATCATATAGTTAGATTATACTTAGACTGTTGAATTAATGGAATGGTATTTAAACTATATAGTTAAGGAGGAATGGTCCTCTGTAACATTTTAAAGTATATAGTTAAGGAGGAATGGTCCTTGGCAACAATCAGTGTAAACTATATAGTTAAGGAGGAATGGTCCTCTGTAGCAATCAGTATAAACTATATAGTTAAGGAGGAATGGTCCTCAGCAGCAATCAGTTAGACTATTGAGTTAAGGAGGAATTGGTCCTCTGCAGCAATCAATTTAAACTATATAGTTAAGGAGGAATGGTCCTCTGTAGCAATCAGTTTAAAGTATATAGTTAAGTAGGAATGGTCCTTGGCAGCAATCAGTTTAAAGTATATAGTTAAGGAGGAATGGTCCTTGGCAACAATCAGTGTAAACTATATAGTTAAGGAGGAATGGTCCTCTGTAGCAATCAGTGTAAACTATATAGTTAAGGAGGAATGGTCCTCAGCAGCAATCAGTTTAAACTATATAGTTAAGGAGGAATGGTCCTCTGTAGCAATTAGTGTAAACTATATAGTTAAGGAGGAATTGTCCTCTGTAGCAATCAGTGTAACCTATATAGTTAAAGAGGAATGGTCCTCAGCAGCAATCAGTTTAGACTGTTCAGTTAAGGATCAAAAATGATCCTCTGCAGCAATCAGTTTAAACTATATAGTTAAGGAGGAATGGTCCTCAGCAGCAATCACGTAGACTATTGAGTTATGAATTAAGGATTAATTGACTTACTCAGCCATCAATCTGACTGTTAAGAAGGAATCATGTCTTCTATAGCTAGCAGACTATTAAAATTGTGATAATGGCCCTTTGTAGCAATAAGTTAGATTACAGAGTTTAAGAAGTATGTTTTTTTTTTACAGCAATCAGATTATGGAGTTAAGGATTAGCCCACCTCATAATCAATCTGACTGAAGAGTTAAGGGGGTATGGTCCTTTAAAGCAATTAGACTGTAGAATGAAGGAGGTATGACCCTCTTCATGGAACAGCTACATTGTACAGTAAAACATGGTTATAGTGAACAGACTTATAATTAATTGACACTTACAGCGAAATGATTTTCATTCCCCTTGACTTTATTATGTATTGTAAATTTGACAAATATAGCAAAATATTAGCTCTTATAACGAAGTAAAATCACCGGTCCCATGTACGACCCTCTGCAGCAATCAGCTAAACTATACAGTTAAAGAATAATAGCTTCTTACTAAGTGATATGATTCTGAAATTTGATAAATCACTGTTTCATGTGTAGAGTTTTCATCTTCACTAAAATTTTGCTCTTTCTGGTATACTAAATTTGCTCGATTTTTTCCCCCTCATATTTTGTGAAAAAAAATTTTTGAATATGTTTCATTTTTAAAAAATTATATTTGTTGAAAACACATTGAGAATATTGTTAGAATGTAAAAAATATATTGTCACTTGGGTACAAAGGTTCATATTGTTTACTTCCTCAAAGGTTACCTACATAGTATGTTAGCTATTGCGGTACTGATGGAAAAAAATATAAATAAAAAATGATTGGGACAAAGTCAAGTTCCAGAGATAAACAAAACACTTGCTGACAAACAATTTACATCAGTAATAAAGCACTTGTTTTTTACAATACAACCAAAACATCTTTGTAGGCAATGATTAACACAAAAAATCATCATTTTGGTCATTTATCCAGCATCGTCATAATCACAAGCAAATCTGATCAAAGAGTATTTTTTAAAACAAACCCTTGAAAGTATAAAATGTGAAAAATGCTGTTAACCCACTTTTGGATTTTAATGACCACTTATGTGTTTGACCAATGACTGGTTGATTTTTTTCTTCCCCATTTTAAATAACTTTTGGTTCATGTGATTAGTTAAAGGTCTCTTCTAATTCATGAAATTGACATTTTTTATGTATTAAAAATGTTTGCCAAAAGATAAATGATTAAAAATATTGGATTAATTAAAAGATGTCAAAGTTTATTTGAAATAATTTCCTTGATATTCAGTATGTGTTATTTTGTGGTTCATATGATGATTAATGTCCTCTAGGGGTTAATTTCTACATGATAACATTGATTTCTGATCACTCCACCATAATGTGTTTGAATTATAAGTTTTTTGCTCCTCCGTTGCTTTAATAAATTAAATTTTATATTTTTGAATGAACATTATGCATCTGTACATTCTCTAGAGCAAATGAATTTCAAATCAGATTTGTTGAATTAAGGAGCAAAACAAGAAATTTTAAAAAGACAAGGAGGCTGGATTACAAAGAACATATTATCATTATTATGTAATGAAATCATGGACAATCCTAAATGGTTCTTAATGATATGCACTTTAAGCAAAGAAATGAGCCACAATCCATGCATCTGCAAACCGAACCAATTACAAATTCTAGGTCAATGACAATCACTGTGCTATTTAACATATTGTGTCCTTAATTCAAAGATGATGGTCATGGAAGGTCAACAAGATCAGATGTGCTTTATTTACAAATTACTATTGGAAGAAGATAATTGTCAGGCAGTTCACGTAATGAATAAATATTTTTAAAATGTAAAACAAACTTAAAAGTGAATACTGAACCCATCATAATTTACATGTACATGTGCCTACATACATGCAATGTAATGATCAGAATAGGTTGCCCATATTATTGTCATTTTCAGTGTCAAAGTTCAAGGCCAATTTTAATGCCAATACAAAGAATTTTATCCTGATTTACCTGTGTAGGAAGCTGTATAAAAGTTAGATTAAAATCTGAAAAGGTAATATACAATAGAGATTTTGGTAAATTCTTCATTTGATAGTAAAAACCAATGTCAAGGGTATGGAGATGTCTTATTCTGAATGACCTATGTGTGAAATTTTAACCTCAGTAAAGGTGTATATCAAAATACTATAATTGTTGATGCAAGAAGATTGCATGAGCAGATGATACAAATAAAATAAAATAATTAATTTTCCTCGCAATTCTCCCAAACATTTTGAGCATAAAAAAGCAGTAGTATTTGAATTATTATTTATTCATATATACATGTACATCTGTTTGCCTGTTGACTAACATAAACATACTCTTTATTACAGGTATAATCAAACCCCAAAGTTCATAATGCCATTTTGATATGTCTTCCCAAGTCCTGATGTTTTCCACCAGAAATCATTACAATATCATCATAGAGAAGAATACTAGGCCAAATTCATGCTGTACTCTCTGACTATAGGTGTGTATTTACCACAATTTACAACATAAGAAATTAGTTTCTCCTTTCCTATATAAATCATTAAACACTTCTTATAATAATCGTATGTCTTGTCTTTATGCACTCGGTGTGAGGGAGATTCAGTAATGAAAAATTCAAATTGTTCGTGTTTAAAATTCACACCAGCATATATAGATCTGACATGATATACCACTGTGGTTTCTTATTAATTAGATGTGTGGGAAGTAAAATTTTAGATGAAGATGCATGATTAATTATGATACTGCAAACCGACTGACACTTTATCAGTATTCATACAACAACATTTAATGTCTAATGGAAAGAAAATATATTTCCATCTTAATGATACTGGAATTCCATACCTCGAACACACAGAGCGATAAAAATCTTTAAGGGTACACAATAAGCTGGGTGTCTTAGATTTCATCATTTTACATTCATTTAATATTTTTTTGTGTAGCTATTGAATTTTGATAGATTACATGGGGAGAAATGCATAGAAAAACTACTCAATAGAAGTGACTCTTCCGCCGACCCAGGACGACGTGACAAAGGCACTGCCACGTTTTTTGTTCAACTTGGGGTATCATCACCCCACAGATATAATCACATCAAGACATTACGCAGTGTAGTACAATCTCTGCCATAGAGCTACATAATGAAAGGCAAATTTCATCAATTATTTTATTTCCACCCCTTGCAATTGTCGGAATTCGACTTCTGAGTAGAATAATTTTTCTTTTGTCCTTGATTGAGAAGTGAACAATTTCGCCTTGCCTAGTTCGGTTGACATATGTTGTCATAGCCTTTTAACACTTATTCGCTTATTCATTAAAAATACACTTTTATTTCAATTCTGTTGTCATGATAAAGGAAAACTGAAGTATTTAAATACACTAACTAAATTAGGCATCACAGTTTACAAGTGGCTGACTCTTGCACTGAACAATGCTTTCAAGAATTCAAACTTATTTTTGAAATACAATTATAGATAATAATAGGGTTGTCTGGTTTGGAAATTTGATTTAATTACTGCGAAACTGTGAATTTAGTAAGAAGGTGGACCACACATATCAAACTTCAGTCATTTTTTAACAATGTGCATTTCAGGTCAATTTCTTTGGTGGTATTTTGTGATCTGTGGTTCATTTTAGTTTCTGTAAACAGCTCAGCTAGAGACTGTTGATAGATACTAAGCAGTTAAAGGCTGTTTGATATCTTCTGATAGGACATAAATACTAAAAAACCTGTCTTGTCTTTCTCTGCCAAATGCGTTTGTTTTCATAATTGTTCTCAAAAGTTTTAAACAATTATAATGCATGTATGAATATATATTACGATCTATTCCCTGCCATGATTAAATAGTCAGTACTAACAGTGTTTGTCATATATGTCATCTGCCCCTTCATTCTTCAGTATCCTTCCATCTGTTTTTCAATCTATCACACATAGCATTTACCTCAAAGAAACAAAGATTTTTTCACCATAATATGAATACATTGATATAGTTTGCTGAGCATTATTGTCCATGACGTCACTATTCCATATTTTGTTTAAAGCCCAATGTCGAAGTAACTATTCAAGATATTTATAACAAAAAATCAAGCACTGATACATATTAGTTAGAGTTGTTGAACTTTGGCATTATGTTCTGACCTTGACCTTCCAAATGATTTTGATCTTACTATAACTAAATTTGTATTTAGCACAAGAATTTGTTCATAATATTTTTATTGAAACTTTCACACATATACATGTAGGTGGGAACTTTTAAGATTGTGTCATATTTTTTCAGCTGAATTGTCCTTCACTTTGACCTTGACCCCACTATTTTCCACAGTGTAAACTATTCAAGATATTTTGTCAAACTTAATATGAAGATACAAATTTAAAAAAAAAAGTACATGCATACACTGCATGTGTACAATTTTTCTGACCTGATTTTCCTGTGACCTTGACCTTTCTCTTCTTATTTAACTATTCAATATATTTTCATTAATTTTATTCATAGATAAAAATTGATTATAGTCTAGAGCTTGATAAAGAAAATAGATAAAGTTCAATAAAGGCTTTATTTATATAGCTGTTAGAATTAAGATGGAATGAATCTATCAGGAAGGTATACACTTAAAAAGTTGTCTTTTATTTATGTTAATTACAATTCAAAATGTAACTTTGATGGGGGCATTCACATCTTTCGGGTATGTGTCTTCATTTGAAGATGTTGATATTTATAAATATTTAATGTAAAAAATATTTTTAAAGAAAATTTCAGTCAAGGAACTCGCAATATCTTGTGTACATTTAATTTTCCTGTGATCATTACATATGTGATTCGAGTAATGACCATTTAATTTACCTTTCTACACTTCATAATGATTTCAAATTAGATGATATCTCAATCTTAGGTTTGAGCTGTAGACACTTTTCTGAGGTCAGAGGTTTTCAATGATTTTGTGACAAAAAGGCTTTTAGTGACGTTGGTTCATGTGTATTTATAAACCTTAAAGTGTGGGGATCGCGAACTTCTCTCTCTCTCGCTCTGTCACAATGACTAGCTTTAAGTGTGTCTACTTGATTTTCACTTTGATGTTAGATAGGTCCAGTTTAAAAGAACTAAATATTTTTCATTACTTTTATATATTTTTATATCAAATTACACTCAAGAATAATGAATATTTTAGTACATATCCTCAGAGTAGCTGTTAATGTATTGGATCAAGTTCAAATAGATTTTTTAAACTCTGCACAGTATATAAAAAATGGTTTTATAATTATTTTTAAAGTACATTTAAGTGAAAATATAACAATAATTTTTTTTTATGTGTTTCAATAAATACCAGTATAACAAAATGATACAAAATTGTTTAGCAAATGAAAAAAGCGGGATTACATTGAGCATTACTAGTTGTATTAATTTGAAATTTCTTGATGTATTTTTTCTTGTAGCAAAATGTCATGATACAGCTTGAGACAAATATCACAAAGATGCATGGTTAAAAAACCTTTTCATAACTATTGATTAGCCTGGAAAATATTGATCTATTTTAAGTCCAGTGTTAGAAACAATATAAAATAATCTTAATGTTCACCTCAAAGTTTGTCAACATAAGCATATGTTTAAAATAGTTTGCCAATGTTTCTGTGTTATATTAATTATATGATGTGGTCACCTCATAAGCTAATTCAATGCTTCATCTTTGAAGAGTTGCTTCCCTTAGACCACAAACTTGACATTTATGTTCCTGTACTTGTGCTAATTTAAGGGCAGACTGTGTTCAAGTGGTTTTGTGTTAAGCCACTTTATCATTTAATCCTTATCCACTTGACTCATAAAATGGTCACAAGTTTCTTAAAGTTTCTTTCTTGTATGTGTTGAGTATTTTCAAGGATTAAAATCACTAAATAACAACACCTCAAGAAAAGAGCTAATTTTATTTACTAAGAATGATTCAAACTGTGTAAATGCCTCCACACAGCATCATTTTCTTGCTGTGATGTTAATATAGTTATCTCGATCATTGCATCAAAACTCTAAGTATAGTTCTCACACAAAAATTTCTCTGAAGTGTCGAAAAATCTCAAGGTTATCTAAAACAATGCTGACCCACTTTCTGGCCTATCGTTGTAAGAGTACCTTTCTTCTGAAGTTATTACTGTGAGCAAAAAAAAATTATGTTACGTAACATGCACTTTCATGCAAGAAAACAAACATCATAGCAGAAAAGATACAGAGTAATAAATTGCAAGCTTGTTGATCCATGAGGAATCTTGCTATTGTGTGTGAGATCCAATTTTCCTTTTGGTGAGCATGGCTTTGACAGCCTGCTGAGAAGGTGTGCAAACGGAGAATCTGAGAAACTGAAAATAATGTCAACAAATTAATTGTCAAGTAAAACAAGATAACAGGGACGCCCCTATTGTATCAGCTGATTGATGGTGGGGGATCCGGGATTTCTTTTCAATCACCACTCTTTGTGGGAATGCAAATGAAGAATCTATAAGCATTCCAAACCGAGTTACCCATGATGGAATTTTATAGAGATAAATGGCAAGCTGTAAAATGTACAATGGGAATTAGAGAAAATATGCAAAATAAAATAGTACATTATTATTATATTTTCCTTTTGGTGGTTGGGGGGTGGAGGAGGGGGATTAAATGAAATACCTTCTCAGTGCAAGGAAGACAAGCTAAAAATAAACATTTAAGTGAAGTAGAATTTGTCCTTTGTTCAGTTAGAATGACATTTCTTGTGAATGAACTTCAGATTTCTTGAGGCTGATTTATACTTAGTCTAACACACAAGAATATATCATTGTGTCAAATTATTACCAAAGGTCAGGCCACATTTTACCTCTGACATTCAGCATTTTATTGAATCGGCAGGGTGCCGCTAAGTGTAATGGGGTGAGAGAAGTAGAGACTTTTTTTCTTTATGTGGATGATACATTTTGTTCCATACATTGTAGCTGCATGGTGAAACCTCATCAAAGGGCCATTTAAAATGATAAAATCTACTTCAGAAAATTGTCTGTTGCTTTAATAGGTGTCATAAAATATGTAGTATAGGGATAAATTAAACAAAATTAAAGACTTCTCCCCTAGAAAATGGATCTTTAGGTTTGTACTCTGTTATAGCTGTTTTTAACAATTGTGGTTCTAACATTTTTTTTTAGCCCATCCTAGCTTCAACCTGCAATGTACATTATCAGTTTAGAGCTATTTGTATATCATTTGTATTGCAAGCAAACAGTCATTTACTCCATCTGTAATATGAGGGAATTATGAGTGAATTCCGTGTGACAGAACTATTTGGATTCTCAATGATTTTCCCCGTTTATCTTCACTTATAATGCTAAGCTCTCATTAAGTGAGAATATTGTGTTTTTTTTTTAATGTAAATTTGTTAATGTTACAAACTTTAAAATGCACAAATGTCTGATCTACTCCATTTTTTCCCTTTTTCCATATTTACACTAATTAAGGTCCTAAGTTTACAATACATTGAGAATTTTTTGTCATTGTGTAGAAAACAGCTCAAGAATATATGTATTAATTAATGCAGAAGACACAAATCATGTTAAACCTAGGACAAGCAGTGAAAATGAATTCAAATTTCTTCTCTTTACTAAATCTTGGTTACATTCTATTATGGCTTTGTCAATTTTTTTTTTAGAAAGGAACCGTTGTCCAACTTAGATGCAGCAACCAAGAAGTCATTTTGTTCTTTCAAATTGACAGTGTTTGTAGCCCACAGTGTCTTTTCTGTTTAATATGAGAATCATACAATAGAGTACATGTGTACTTGACATTAAGTGTTCACATCGTGCCCCCCCCCCCCTTCTTTCACCCCACCCTAACCAAATTTCTTCAACTTTTATGAAAGGTATTATGTCTGAATGACTTTTCTTCTCTTTTTTTTTTTGTCGAAAATGATAGTAGCAGTTCATATGAAATGTGTATCTGCTGCATTATTTTAAAAGTGTAAAAGAATATTTATTGCTCGGCTTCCCTCTTAATATTACAGACATTTCTATTGTGATATGGAGTCTGATATTGTAACCCACCAGTAGAAATGTAATTATGCCAGAAAGACGAGCTATATTATTTCAGTAATGTGGTTAAAAACTTTAATTTGTTAAAATTATAGAGTTGAGGAAAATTGGTTTGGAGAAAACAAGGAGAAGTTTAACTTGAAGCAGATTCCATTAAATCTGTGTATTTATGTCAGTCCATACTTTTGTAGTTGTTTAACCATCATTTCCAATTAAACAACCATTTTGGGGGCAAATTACAGGAACATTTCATCCCATGATTGATTTTCTTACAAGATGGTAAATATCACTTTTGGGCAAATTATGAAAGTTAAATACCACCTGTATTGAAATTTTGTGCCATTAAACTTTCAATTTGAACTTTTTTCTTAGCAAAGAGTTGTCATGTTCCTTTTAGGGTGAGCCATCATGCATGCATGACAGCTATGGGGAAAATTGATAATTTGACTGCCTCAACCCTGAAGGGAAGTGATCGGAAATAAAATTGACATCATTTATTGTGTTAATTGAATATGACACAATTTTTAGAAGAAGTTAAAGTGCCATTTTGTCAATTAATGACTAAAAAATGAAATATGATGAATAAATATGATCAACAAATAAAT